GGGTGGGGGGAAGGACGTAGGAATCAATGTTATACCAATGAACATGTTTCAACTAACAAATGTAGCCTGGACATGCTCACCAGTCTATGCCAAGAAATTTAGAGGACAACTTCTGCCTGGCCAATCGACTGGAAGAGAGTCATATTTGTTACCATCCTCAATAAAGGTGACAGAACAGTATGGAAATTATTAAAAATTTCATTAATATCTCATGCAAGCAAAATACTACTGAAGATCTTCCAAAAATGGCTGGGGGAAAAATGGTATATTGACAGGGACCTGCCAGAAGTTCAAGGGGAGAAGGTTTAGAAGAGGCCATGGCATCAGAAATATCATTGCTAGTTTCAGATCCTGGTTGAAAGCAGAGACTGCTGGAAGAAGATCTGTCTCTGTTTCATTGACTATGCAAAGCATTTGACTGTGTGAATCATAACAAACTATGGCTAACATTGAGAAGAATGACAACCCCACAACACTTAATTGAGCTTATGCAAAATCTATTCCTAGATCAAGAAGCTGTTGCCTGAGTGGAGCAAAGTAACACTGTATGGTTTAAAATCAGGAAGGGTAGACAGACTTATAATCTCCTCCTGTGCAATTTACAACCTCTAAAACCTGTTGGAGGGTCAGCTTATATGTCTGTTTGCCCCTAGGTGCTGGTGAATTTGAACCACTGGAGAGAGGCCATCTCTGTGTTAGCACGGCTCTGTATGTTTAAGTTACTGAAAGAATGAAAATATATAATGAAATGAGATTGTGAATTCGCAAGCATTTTGTAAAAAAGCATCCCGAGCTTCATCAAAGGTGTTTTGGAAACAGTTATAAAAATAATTTTCAAAATCTTCCATTTGCTAGACTGGTTATTTGGTGAGTTGTTGAAAAAGAAAAACTTCATAATGGAAAAAAAAATCAGGAAGGGTGTGTGTCAGGAATGTATCCTTTCTTCGTACCTATTCCTTCTGTATGAAGAGCAAATAATTAATGAAATTTGACTCTATGAAGAGGAATGTGGCATCAGAATTGGAGAAAGTCTGCTCATGCAGATGGTACAGACTTGCTTGCTGTGAGGAGGATATGTATGGCACACTTGCTGTAGAATATCAAGGACTACAGCCTTTGACATGGATTGCATCTTAACTTCAAAAAAACAAAAGTCCTGACAACAGGACCAATATTCCATATCACAACAGATGGAGAAAGGATTGAAGCTGTCAACGATTTCTTCTTGCTTGAATCAACACCATTGGTACCAGCATTCAGGAGACCAGGAGATGTGGTTTGCACAAAATGAGATTGTGGATTGCATTGGGCTAAGTTTGCTGTCAGGGACCTCTCCAAAAACTCAAAAGTAATGATATAAATTTGAAGTCTAAGGTGTGCCTGATTCAGGCCATGGTCTTTTCAATCACCTGCTATACATATTAGAGCTGTACAATAAATCAAGATGACAGAGAAGCATTGATGCTTTTTAGTTGTGATATTGGAGAAAAGTAAACTGGTCTTCTAAAAGAACAAACATATATGTCTTGAGAAAAGTGTAGCAAGAGTAGAGTGATCCTTGAAGGCAAAGATGGTGAAGCTTCATCTTACATACTTGGACTATGGTGTTAGGTTAGGCTTTTCCTTGGAAATGAGAATCCTTGGAAATGTGGAGAGTCACTAAAAGAGAGAAAGAACAACAATGAGATGGATTGTCACAGCGACTTAATAATAATGGGCTCAAGTATGTCAGAGATGATGAGGCTGGCATGAGATAGGAAAAGATTTAGATCCCTTGTTCATATGGTCAGTATTGGTTATATTTGACTCAAAGGCTCATAGCAATAACAGCAAAAGGAACAATAACCAGCAGTGTAGGAGGGTTTTCATTTTTTTAATCCCTACTTTTTAAATTTCTTATTGGTTTGCATACAAAATTCGTATACACTGAGTTATCATTCATGTACATTGTGTTTCACACATTGTGTAAATTCACATTGTGTCAAATGATCATCATGTATATTGTAGTTTAAAAAATATTTTTTATATTGGTTTGCTCACAAAGTTCATATAGTGTTTCATACAATTATTCCCAAGCACTATGTTTTATAAAAATCAATCACAATTGGACCTTGCCCATCATTACCCAATCTTTTCAGGTCCTTGCCAGATCCTTCCCATTTTTTCTCTCCACCCACCAAACTGTGCAACCCTGTCATTTTCTCCTACCCATTCTCACCCCTCTGCTTCCACTCCATCCTCCCTTGGGTTCTCATACATGTTTTACTAGTTATCCTATATTTACAATAATGGTCTTATGCAGTGTTTGTCCTTATGAGACTGAGTTTGTTCACTCAGCCGAATGCTCTCCATTCTCTCCCAAGTTCTCCATTTGTGTCTCAGTTCTAATTTCCTTGGGATATATTCCTAGTAGTGGAATAGCTGGATCATATGTTGTTTCTATGTTCAGCTTTCTTTTTTTTAGATTTTATACTGGTTTACTTACAAAGTTCATAATTTTGCATATATTGTATGTTTGATTTTTTGAGGAAACACCAAACTGTCTCACAGAGTAGTTGTTGTTAAGTGCCATCGAGTTGTAGGGGACTCATAATGACCCTTTGAACGAAAGTCCTCAACACTTGTGTGACTTTCATCCTTTCTCCAGGTTCATAGTAGTTCAGAGTAGTTGTACCATTTTATAATCCAACCAACAGTGTATAAGAGTTCCCACCTCTCCACATCCTCTCCAACATTTATTGATTGTGTTTTATAAAATTAATAAACGTTGAACTATGCCTGCTATTACCCTGTCTTTTCAGGTCCCCATTGGATTTTTCTTAATTTCTACACACACACCCCCACACACCCATGCTCTCCATACTGTTATCATTTTTCTACTTTCTGGCCAAAACTTGTTTTTCATGATAGCTATCTTTGTGCGTATAAAGAAGCTCCAGTGGCAGAAAGGATTCAGTGTGAGTTAGCTAACCACCATATTGGTGCCTCTAACCCACCAGCCACCCCTCAGGGGCAAGGTGAGGCCCCTGGTTCTTTGAGGGCAGCTCTGCTCTGTTGTGTAGTGTTGTTCTGAGTTGGAATTAATTGGATATCAGTGTGTTTGGTTGGATAGAAGCCATGAAGTGCTTTTTCCACTGTGGTTTTGCTTTGAAAAGCAAATGACTCAATGGAGGCTATTCACAATGAGATCTTGAAGAGAGTAAAATAGAAATCAAATAATTGGTCAATCTTAATGTCATTAAGTATACTGTAATCAGCTGATGGCAGGCTATTAAATGTTCTCTGATCCAGGAGGGGGTAGGGAAGGCCCTGATTCATTGCACAAATCTTTAGGTATAATTCAGAGTTTTTAAAATTAGAAAAATTACCTCAAGCATTCAGAAATTTCCAAGAATTTTCTTTCAGGGAGGAAATACAATTACCTACAATTTACATTGGATAAACTCTGAGATACATTATGGTGAACAAGGAGTTTGTGGTTAACAAAGCTAGTTTATGGTTATGTCCCTGGGTGGTATAAGTGATTTGCTTTTGACTAACAGCTGAAAGACATGAACACATGTCTTTGTCACAAAAAAAGGGGGGTGTTTGCAAAAGCTTTTCCAGTATGTTATCCTAGACTTGGGTTTCTTTATCATTAATAGCTGTCTAACTCTAAGGAGCTCTAGTGGCTTAGAGTACAGGGGCTTGCACTGCTAACCCAGTGGCAGTATTTGTCTGGTGGTTGGAAATCACCAGAAGCTCTACAGAAGAAGAAAGATGAACAATATCCTGCGTGATTTACAGCCTCAGAAACCTGACTGGACAATCATTCAGAGTCAGTTTCTACTCAATGGCAATAAATGAATGAGTGCATGATGATGTTGTTGTTGTTACATGCCATTGAGTAGCCTGCAACTCTATGACCAGTATCTCTGAATGTTGCTCTATCCTGAGCCAATCTCACGGTCCCATCTATTCTCATTACTCCAATTACTATGTCAGTCAATTTCATTCAGGATCTTCTTCCCCTGTGCTATCCATCCACCCTTCCAAGCAGGATGTCCTTCTCCAAGGACTCATCCCTCCTGGCAATATGACCAAAGTATGTAAGATGGAGCTTCTAAATCCTTGCGTCCAAAGAGTAGCTTGATTTCACCCTCTCCAGGGCTGTTTGTTCTCTTGGCAGTCCATGGTATGTTTAATACTATTCTCTGGCACCACAGCTTAAGGCATAAATTCTTCTGTCAGCCCAAGTCATTGTCCAGCTTTCTGATGTATGGCGAATTATTGCAAAGACCATGGCCTGACTCAGGCACACCTCAGTCTCTAGACAGACATAATTGCTCTTCAGCACTTAGAAGAGGTCCTTGACAGCACACTTTCCTAATGCAGTTGTCTTTTGATTATCTAAGTGGTGGTGCCAAGAGTGTTGATCATGGAGCTGAGCAAGCTGAAATTGTTAACAATCTCAATCTCTTCTCCATTTAGCATGGTGCTTCCAATTGGCCCAGGGGTGAGATTCTTTGTTTTCTTGATGTTGAGCTTCAATTCATCTTGAAAACTACAGTCCTTGACATTCTGTAGCAAATGCTTCAGGTCCTCCTCAGTTTCTGCAAGGAATGTTGTGCCATCTGCATAACACAGGTTGTTAATGAGTCTTTATCCAATCCTGATGCCACATTCCTCCTCAAAAAGTCCAGCCTCCTGAATAATCTGTTCTGCATATAGATTGAAAAGGTATAGAGATAAGACACATTTCTGACACACTCCTTTGCTCATTTTGAACCATGCAGTGTTTCCTTGCTCCATTCTGACAACTGCTTCCTGCATGATAATTATCTCTAAAACAATTAACATTTTCACATTGGAGAAACAGATCAGCAGTTTACCTCTTGGTAAACGATCATACCTGCTGCTCTAGAGCTGGAGATCAAACACGGAATAGAATAGAATGGTTTGATGCATGCTTATCTCTCTCACTTCTTAAACCTCTTATGTTCCGCAGGCCTTTATGTAAGTACAGCTGTGGCAGAGAGTCTGGAATCTGGGAGATCCCTTCTTCTTCACTGTTTTGCCAACCCTCCAAAAGACTTCAGAAGTTATCACAGCCCAGGAAGTACCAGGAAGACGACGATCTAAGAAATAGGTAGGGCATCTTGAGGATCTTCATAGCTTAATTTGCTTAAATTGTCACAGCTTAATTTGGTTAAATGTCACAGTTTTGTTACTTTTTTTATTGTGTGCAGTTTCATGCGTATTCTGTGGTTGACACAGGATAGGGCACGGTTCAGATCTTTTGCTTATAGGGCTGTTGTGAGTCATACTTGACTCTTGGGCACCTAACAGCAACAATAATTTCATAAGCTAAAAGTCAATCTGTATTTCAGGGTGTCAGTTAAGAAATAAACTAATCACTCATAATTGTAAGTAATCCGTACATCATCATGAATAATCCCACTTGGTCATCTTGTGGTGAAGCTAAAATTCATACCAAACCTTATCATCGCAACTGATTACAAGGAAGCATCCAAATGAACATCACATGTTCTTGCAATTGGTACAACTTGATTACTTGATGTTGTTCTCTTATGCCTTTATATAACTACATGTGTAGGATCAGTGTATCCTTACGAAATGGACAGTAAGTGTGCGAGTATTTAGGGAGAGGTAAATGAGATGTTCGGAATTTTTAAAGAAAACGGTTAAGAAAAATGATGTGGGCACAAGGGCGACTGGCGCATAAGGGCGTTGACACATGAAGTCTTATTTGCTGAGGACTGGTGACTTGGCAGCTTAATATCTGGGAACGGACTGCAACCTCTAACTCCCAGAGCTGCCCAAGCCCTGCACCCCCACCTCTGCCACAGCACCGTGTCCAGGGACACCACCCCACCACCATCCGGTGCCCCCATACTTCTGGCACACCCTGGTGGCCTTGCCACAACCCTGCACCACTGGCGGTGCTCCAGGGCCACTAGAGACTCCTTCACGCAGCACAGAGACCTACCAACAGCCATGAACAGTACAATTCTGAGTCAGCACACAAAGGCACACCGCAGATCCAGCCAGCATCTTAAGCCACTATTCGAGCTGCTGTGGGACTGATCTGCCACGAGAAAGACTGGTAGGATCCTAATTAGGTTTTCTTGGGCACCGCTGATTGTCTGGGAGATTACCCAAGGGTGAGCCCACTGGTGGAAATTTGGCTGAGCTCTCTTGGGCCACGCCAACTGTCCAGGAATGAGCAGGCCAGTGATAATTTGGCTGAACTTTTGTGGACACTGCAGACCAACCAGAGGTGGGTGGGTTGGTGGGAATTTGACTTTGTCTTGTTGAGTCCCCTTGGACCCAGGACCCTTCCTGGGCAAGGACAACTGTATGAGCACCACTGGACAGGGACGAGTGAATGAAAACACTGGGTGGGAGATGTACAGTTGGAATTTGAATAGGAACCCCAGTTGTAAGCACATCCAGACAACTGAGGTCTGAGTGAGGTCCCCCAAGTGGTTGACCTGCCCTTGTGATCACCCCAACCACGTGCATGCCCCACCCCATTTGGCTCCATACCTGTGTCTACATGTCTGGTTGGTTAATCAATCTGCCTTATCTGGAGCACCTTGACCTGTCTTACCTACAAGAGACTGCTCTCACAGGCTCTGAACTGACATTTCCCTGGAGTCAGACATTCAGAGAAAAACATAAGTGGGATAGCTACCCAACTGATCTCTAGAGCATTATCTTCAGATCAAGAACATATCAAAGTCTTGAACAAAGCAAGCTGTCCCACACAATAGGTCCCCAGCTCAAAGGGTGACACAGTATCAGTGGATTTCCTGAAGCCAGGAAGTCTGATGGAACTTTCTGACACAGAATTTAAAAGAACAATGATTGAATATTTTTAATGGATGAAACACAGAACCAGTGAGGTAGAAGACAAAATTGTCACCATTGATCTGCTAGAGCAAAAAGCAGACTCAAAAAGGAAGGGAAAAGAAGAAAACCTAAGAATTATGTGGGACACCATCAAGAGAAATAACATGCGTATCATTGGAATCCCAGAAAAGGAAGAAGCAAGTAAAGGCACTGAAAAAGTTGTGGAAGAATTACTAGAGGAAAACTTCCCAGGCATAATGAAGAATGAGAGAATATATATACAAGAAGCTCAGCGAACACCATACAGACTAGACCCCAAAAGAAAAACATCAAGGCATATCTTAGTTAAATTTGCCAGAACCAAAGATAAGGAGAGAATCCTGAAAGCAGCAAGGGAGAAACAAAGAGTAACCTATAAGGGAGAGCAGATAAGATTAAGTGCCAATTTCTCAAAAGAAACCATGCAAGCAAGAAGAGAGTGGAAGGACATATATCAAACACTCAAAGAACACAACTGTCAGCCAAGAATACTGTACCCAGCAAAATTATCCATCAGATATGAAGGAGAGATCAAGATTTTCCCAGAAAAGCAGAACCTAAGAGAGTTTGTAAAAACAAGACCAGCATTGAGGGAAAGACTCGGAGATGTCCTTCTTACACAGATACCACAGAAAGCATCATGGACCAAAGTAACTAGTAACAACACCAAAAAGAACTCAACACAATGATAGCAATAAAACCTTGCCTCTCAATAATCACATTGAATGTAAATGGTTTAAATGCACAGCTGAAGAGAAAAAAAGTAGCAGACTGGATAAAAAGCGAAAACCCATCAATATGTTGTCTACAAGAGACACACCTGAAAAACGAAGATAAAGACAGACTAAAAATAAAAGGGTGGGGAAAAATATACCAAGCAAACGGCAACCAGAAAAAAGCAGGAGTAGCGATACTTGTTGTTGTTGTTATGTGCCATCGAGTCATTTGCGACTCATAGCAACCCTATGTAGAATGTATGTCCTATCTCATTTTTTAAAAAATCCAACAGTTGACTCTGCTGAAAATTATCCAAAAACGATTGGAACAGCACATCAACAGAGAACTGCCAGAAGTGCTGGATTTTGAAGATGCCTTGGGACTAGGGATATTATAGCTAATGTCAGATGGATCTTGGCTGAAAGCAAGAGGATGTCTGCGAGGGGGATGTCTAGCTGTGTTTCATTGACTATGCAAACGGCATTTGACTGTGTGGATAACAAACTGTAGCTGACTCTGAGAAGAATGGAAATCCCAGAACACTTGATTGTTATTCAAGGTCTATACTTGGACCAGGAGACAATCATCAGAATAGAGCAAGGAAACACTGCCTGATTAAAGATAGAAAATGTGTGTCAGAGATGCAACCTATCTTAATAGTTTTTCAATCTATATGTGTAACAGATCACCCGAGAGGCTGGACTCTATGAGGAAGAATGTGGAGGAATTAGAATAAGATTCATCAACAACCTGTGTTATGCAGATGGAAACCTTGCTTGCCAAAACTGAGGAGGACCTGAGGCATTTACTGCAAAAAGTCAAGGACTGCAGCCTTCTATATGGATTGAAGCTGACCATCAAGAAAACAAAAACACTGGTACAATTAGCAGCATCATGATAGATGAAATTGAGATTGTCAACAACATCAGTTTGCTTGGCTACCAGGAGTCAGGAAATATAAAAGCTAATTGCATTGGAAAAATATGCTGTCAGAGGCCTCTTCAGAGCACTGAAGAGCAAGGATGTCAGTCTAGAGACTAAGGTGCATCCAATCTAGGCCATGGTCTTTACAATTATTTGCTATGCACTAGAGAGCTGGTCAGTGACTAAGGATAACAGCCTTTGAGCTGTGGTGCTGGAGAAGAGTATTGAATACTCTTGAATATATAGACTGCTAGGAGAAAAAACAGGTTCATCCCAGAGAGGGTGAAACCAGGTTTCTTTTTGGAGGTAAGGATTTTGAAGCTTCATCTAACATGCTTTGAGCATGTTGTAAGAAGGGACCAGTCCTTTAGAGGGGATATTATACTTGGAAGGGTGGAGGGACAGCACAAGAGAGGAAGACCCTGCATGAGATGGATTGACTCAGTGACTGGGGTAATAAGAGTAGTTGTGTCAGAGGGATGAGGTTGCCTTAAGAGAGAGCAGGCTACAGAGTTTTACATAGGGTCACTTTGAATCAGAATCTACTTTACATAACAACAACAACAATGACAACAATAACAACAGAAGACTATCTGTAAAGGGTAATCATATAGTTGTTATTGTTTACTGTAGAGTTGGAACTAACCCATAGCTCACCCTCCAGCAAGTTTTCAGAAGCAATTAATTGCACAGGAGGAGATTGCCCATCTTTCTCCTACTGAGTAGCTGGTGACCTTGAACTGTGTGCCTTCGGGATTACAACACAGCTTCTTACCATTAGGCTACCATGCTCCCTAATTATATAGTTATTTAAGAATTTTTTTTTCCATATTAGGCTTGTTAGTTTGTTGGTTGATTGATATGTATTGTAAGATGTGAGTTACAGCACATCAGCCAAAGGCCTAGCAGTTACTACTAGCCTTTGGAAAAAGACATAATACTGAGAAAGGTGGAGAGTCAGTGAAGGAAGGGAAGACCCTCAATAAGACAGATTGACACAGTGACTGTACAATGAATTCAAGTATATCAGAAATGGTGATGATGTCCCAAGATAGTGCAGGGTTCAAATCCATTGTTTATAGAATCACTTTGAGTGGTAGTCAACTCAGTGACACCTAATAACAACAACAACAAATCAAACTACATCAGAAAGCATCCTTGGGTGGGGGTATACTAGGTTTTGATAAAAAGTTAATTGCTTTAATTCAAATAAATTTAATTATTTGCAATAGATTATTTTATGAAATTATGTTAAATTTAAAAAAGATAAAAATATATTACATAGGATAAGTATTTTTCATGATAATTTTATTTTAGATACGCATACATGTAGACGCATACATATGCTCCACCACATCATAAAATGCAGTTTCTACTGTGAATCATACTAAAAAATTTTGGAAAATCATAGGAAACAAGGCTCCTAAGAAGGAAACAATAAATATTATTGATTGAAAGTTGATTATAACAATAAAAAATGTGACTTTTCTTTCAATTCATTGATTACAAGATTTCCCTTTTTCTTTTAAAAACAGGTCCTTAAGTGATAGAGTAGGAGATTCTCTTAAAATCCCTGAGGCATCTTCCCGGATATTACGACTTTCTGTAGCCAAGAGCACAGATCAACACTATCTTCCTCCAAGAAAAGTAAGTGAGCCCATGTGAGAAAAACTGTTCATAGTCTACTTTGTAACATATTCCTCTTTTATTTCTGTTGTTGTTATGTGCTGTTGAGTCTTTTGCGACTCATAGCGACCTTATGTACAACAGCCCTAAACCCTGCTCTAAACCCTGCTCTATCCTGTGCCAATCGCACTGCCTCTGACACACCCATCCCGATTACCCCAGTCACTGAATCAATCCATCTCATA